ATCTTCAAACTCGATTTTTTCGAAAGTAGAGTTTCCTATGGAAAAATGTTCTTCCACTTTTCCGATTTAGTTTTACGCGAAGAATCGCTCCTTGTCAGTTTCCCATGGGTTCGATAGTTCACCTGGTTTGACGTTTGTCCAATGAATGGTGACCCATTCGTCGCGATCCGCGGCACTTTGTTGATGGTAGAAGCCCAGCGCGTGCATGAACTCGTGAACGACCACACCGTGTTGCACGCATCCTGGATTCTGTAGGTTCACCACTTGCCCTTTGTTGTGTCGGCCAACTAACGACCAACATCCTGACATTTTCCCTTCTACCGTAATGTAATCGTCATCGGTTTTCTTGTAACGTCGGAAGCGTAAGCACGTGTTCTCGTGATATTCCTTTATGGCACCTTCGATCACTTCAACGTCCTCTTCGTCTACGCAGAATATAGCAAACACTATGATAAGCAGGTACTAGGGTGTAGCCATAGGCGAAATGTAGCGCAGAGGATGATTTTCGTAGAAGAATATAGTGAGCTCTGTTTAACAGACGCTCCTTCGTGCTTTTTAGATGTCGATTGGATTGAAATATTATGTTGGAGGATATGAAATGCTGTTTATACAAATGAAATTTCAATTGTACAAGATATTTTTAAAACATTGTATTGGGTTGTTCGGAAAGTCCATGTCGATTTTTGGTAGGTGGTACAGGTCTGAATATATCGAAGTGGTTGAAAATAAATAACATGTATACATCCCTTAAAAAGTGGAAAGGTTGTGGAACAAAATGGCACCTATGTGATTCAATAAATATATATTAAAATTCAAACGTGCTATTCTTCTATTCGATTTTCTTTTCGATTTGTACCTTTTAATCGCTCTCTAAGCTGAGATACAGATTTGAATCTTGGCCTATATCGATTTCTTTTTATGAGCTACTGAATGACCGATCGCAACTCAAATTTGGTTTAGGGTCACACCTGATCCCTTTCTCCGGCTATAATGTTGTCGTGAATGATTCAATTTTTATTTTGGCTCTTTCCTGAACGTATGAAACTGATTTCTGTCACTTCTACACGCGAATTCTTCGACTCTTTCGTAACGAAACCAAATAATTACCGAAGTCCTCTTCCTTTATGTAATAAGGTACAATTCCTCCGGGCCAACGAGCCGCAGTTTTCACCAAACCGTTCCTCGTTTCGTCCGTTTCCCCAGCAAGCATTATATCTCCTTCGTACAAGCCGCTCAATTCCCACAGGTTTTGAGTCTCCTTTTTCGACCAAGATTTTATACGGTTCGCTGTTTGCAAATAAATAAAGGATATGTTGTTTAACACATGGTGGTGGCTTACAATTATATGTCCTAGCGGGCGGCGTGTACCACCGGTGGCTCACGCTTGCGTGTCTACGAGATTGCGTGTACCACTGAGCCGCCCTATTGGTGAGAAACACTATCATTATTGAAAGAAGAATTTTTATACACTAAATTTTTGAATCATCTGACAAAAAATTGTTCTTAGAGAACTTTCATAAAAAATAACAAATAAGTTCATTTAAAATAATTTTGCAAAAATATTTTGAATAGAGAAAATAGCTTCATATTTACTGGTCTGATATATAAGGGAATAATTCAGATGAAAATTTGAAATTTTTAAGGCTCGTTCTAATTACTATCAATACTCTGGCAAATTAAAAATTATTTGATCAATTTTCACTGAAATTATAAAAAAAAAAAAAACAAGTGAATGAAATAGTTGCATGTATTTTTCATTTAAAACTTTCGAATGTTTTGGGGGCACGTGCTAATGTTAAAAGTAAGAGGTCCAATTTTGGAGGAATTAGGAGATGTATAATATAGATTTGAAGAGTCATTAGAATCAGGACCACCCTATTGTACAGATACTGTGTTTAAAAAAGATTTGGTGGTACAGGTGGTTTGAGATCGAAGAGTGGTCTGAATCGAAACTATGAAAAAGATTCTTGATTAGTACGTGTGTTGCTATATGGTATAGACCACGAAGAACAATTTATATCAAAAATTAACAAAATGGCGCATATTTAAATATGAATATCGAAAATGTACATGTTTTTGAGCAGTTTTTTGATTTCAAATATATGATACACTGAACATAAAACCGTAATTCCGCTTCCGACTAGAGCCACTGATGTGTCGAATAACGTTAAGAGGGTATCCTGAATAGCAGTTCTAAAAAAAGCGGTTTTTCGTGAATTATTTAAGAATTTGAATATTTCTTGCTGAAAAAATTTGTACAGACTACTCAAATATGTACGAAAATAGGATAAAGAGTTCGATAGAATTAATTATTTTTTTTCATCCTAAAAAAATTCACGAAGAACCGCTTTTTTAGACCTCATAATTCAGGATACCCCCTTAAAATACCACCCCGAATGATCAATATACCAATCGTTTCGTGCTGGTGAGTTTCGTGGAACGTCCCTTGAAACTTGGGTTTCGGTGGGACGACGACTCGTTTTCTATCGCCATGAATCGCACTCGAATTCGTACCGATTCCCATCATTAGCACGAGCAATGTTACCCACGCGTATACAACATTTCTACGATCACTGGTGCCCTTCATTTTCCCCACAATGAACGTCAAAACTCGACGGTCGCCGACTTTTTCGGAACGAACGGTACGAACGGTTGAAAAGTCTCAATTTCCACCGTATATTTATACGCACGTGGTGATACGCGTACGAGGATCACTCGACATCCATCTCACGTATCCTGTTATCGAATCTCACTTGGCAAAACTTGGTCGTAACCGATACGGACAACCGTTTCCGTCGATTCTGTAAACTTATTTTTTTTCCACCGTGAAAGAAACTTTACGTAACGAGGCGGTCAACGTTCGCGACAGGCTTCTCACGGCACGGCAGCTGGAAGATGAAAGTCACTTCAACATCTTCGTGTAACACCCTTTGTTGAGGGTCATACCACCTTTACCGGCGAGGAAACGCTGACTTTGGGAGTTTTTCCCGACGATACGCAGCGTTTAATTTAAGGTGCGAAGCTACATCCAACGCGTGAAAATCGTATCTATATTCAACAATTGTTTTGTCAAAAACTGTCAAATTAAGGTAGTTGTTCCATGGATTTATTTAATGTAGAATTGTAACAAAACTTCATTTGATTGGGATTTGATTAAATATGAATCATATAAGACTATTTTGATTTAAATTGACCACCCCAGTTTAATGAAAAATGATATAAAAATTTTGTAATTTTAACTCAGACTTTTATGGAACATGCAGATTTTCATGAGAATTTGTTTAATTTAAATTTTGCCGAGTTACTCGTAGAGATTCGATCTGCTCGAGTTACACGAATATTCATCTAGTTTTGTATTCTTCTTTAATCATGGGGAACAGATAAAAGTATTGTTTAAAAAACCTAGAAGAAATATGTTTTCTTCATGAAAATATGGGAATAAAACAGAAGCATTAAATTAGCGTCATATTTTTCTTCCTTAGACGTTTATTAGATTATGTTATTAATTAAACTGTACACTAAATATTAATTAAAAAAATATTGTTAATTTGAAATGACTTCTCTGTATTATATTAATACAATATGCCAGGCAAAGAGCAGCAAATCAAAATCATATAGGAAAAACAAAACAACAACGTTCTTTTAATAAGCAAACTGAAATATACAATTCGATACAATCGATCGTACCAAGTATGAAACGATATTTTAATTTTGATATATATATCAATAACGTTAAAAATGAATTGAAAATTATAAGGTGAACTTTAAGCATGTTATTTCGTCTCGTAGTTTAGGAGACAATGAAAATTGAAAATAATTCACAGAGAAATGAATTATACGTCACTCATCGCGCGACCGAGTTCGTCATTAACATTTACATTTTTATTTTTATTTATTTCAATATATATACGGGCATAATCCATTATAAAATTGACACAATAAAGCAAATAGTAAATAAAGATAGTTGTCAGTTGATGTTGACATTTAAAAATCTATCTCTATTTTACACTCAGTTAAATGTGTTCAACTGTTACGAAGTACAGATCTTCAATTTAATCAATTGTCCGATCAATTTCCCGAAATAGAAATTCTCGGAATTATTTTTAATTTTTACGCGACCAAGGTGACTTCCCCCCTTAAATTGCTCTAGCGCGAGATTCGTTTCTATCGTTTCTAACGATAAAGGTATGCGGCTATTTGCGACCTCTAACGGTTGATCGTTGTCGCGTGGCCGCAACGTATCCTTTCCGCATTAATTTGACCTACGTAATCGTAGAATAGGAGCGTGCGTGTTCTAGCGTTGAACGATTACCGCCTCGGATAGGCAGCTATCGTTAACTCTTCGTGGCATGAGAATTTTACGAGTACTCAACAGGGAGAACACGTTGGGTGTCAGACCAAGATTCGTGAAAATTTCTACGAAGTTAAAATTTTGCCTCGAGACTGTTGAAGCTTAAATAATTTCACATTTGTCGTAGCATTTAATTTGTGAACATTTTCAAATTCACAGATCCTATCGAAATTTATTTTCATTATTGCCTCGCTTCTGAAATTAATTTTTGTTGTTCCTTAACGAAAAGTCCTATCACCCATTTTTGGGTGACATGTGCATTTAGTCATTCTATAAGCTCGTACCAAATTTTGTATTACGCGTGATAGTTATATTCAATAATTTCTTTCTTAATAATTGACCTAATAGAAGAAAATATACATAATGTATGCTGAATATATTAATATAATACTGTTGTTATTTCATTTTGCACAAGTACACGTACCTTTTGGTTATATTTAGCATGTATTTGTCATATTAGTTTATATAATAAATACGTAAAATCCGTAGTGTTCCTATCGTGCATATTTTACGTATTAAACAAATTATTACATCTTTCTCTTGGCAGTCTGAATAACCACCTTTTTCAAAAAGTGTTCTCTTTTTTTTTTACGATCCAGGACGAGTGACAGTGGTTAAATTTGAATGTCGAAAATGTCGAGCTTATCGACATCGGCCACGATGATAATACACAACCGCGCTTAGTAGTTTAACAACTATCGCGACTATGAATAACCAGATAAAAATCCGAATTGTTATTCATTTCACAACCTTGTTATCGTTGGTATTCCAGAAAGGACGGGCATCGATAAAGTCGGTTTTTGGCCCTGAGTTTTTTTTTAGTATACACACCCCCGCTCATAAGTATGTGACTACTTTCTCATTGGAGTAAGTATCTAAAAAGAATTACAATCTATTAATGTATACCAATAATGTTTCTGTAACTAGTTTGCGTTGCATTAGAGAATATATTTTATTAAAATTTTATTTAATGTCTCACGAGTAATAATAAAAAAGAAAGTATCCACCATGTGCTCTTAAAGCTTTTTTCTTATCAATCATGAACACCTCAGCTATTAATTTCTTCGAAGTACTATTCAATTAATTGCTACAGTATTTGCAGATAATAATATATTACAGAAAATATAAAAAATTTCAAATTACTTTAATTTCAAATTACTTTACTATTTATTCCTGTTATCCTATCCTATTACCCTAGCATTTGTTCCTAAAAAAAATCTTTCTTTCCACTCATGTAGTGCTAGTTTGTCGACTTGGCTTGCGACCGACCGACTCGTTTAACACGTTGGCTGTCAGATTAGTACTTGTGAAAAATATGAACCTGATACTTCGTTTCTATAAAACTGCTACTTAGTTCTATTGAATTTACACTTGTACTTGTTTTTCCGATTGTCGTCAAATTCACAAATTCTGTGCAGATTTATGTTCTTCGACCTCACATCTTCAGAATTAATTTATTTAGTTCTTCAGTGAAAAGAGATGAAATTTACCAGGTACAGGAGTCCAAGTATTAAGTCTACTTTGGAATACTTTTTGGTATAGAGAAGTGGAGTGGAATATTCTTGTAACTTTGAGAATATTTTAGGTACGATTTAAAGTATATTCGTCAATTTTTTTTTCAAATCATTTCACACAGAAATGATTGAGATATTGCGTTTTCATTGGTCAATACACAGCTTTTTTAAAAATTAATTATCGCGTTTTGTTCAGTTTGAAAACCTCCGTAGAGTGGTATTTTTATATTTTAATGTTAGGATAAAATATCAGTATGAAATGTATTTTTCTTTTAAAGACCGATTATCGTGTTTTGTTTAGTTTGAAAAGCACCATAAAGTTGTAACTTCATATTTTAATGTTACGATAAAATATCACTATGAAATGTATTCATAAATATACTATTTTCTTTTGGTGCCAATCAATTGTTCGCGACTGTGTTTGATCCTTTTACTGTTAACACTTTATTTACCGGGAGCCTATTTATAGGCTTTTTAATTCCAGTATTTAGCTTTTCGAATTTATTTGCTGTTTCGATGGTTGTCTACTTACGATGTTCAGTTTTTGGAAACAGACTTGGCTTTCAATATACCTAGTAATAGTACGAAGGAATTATTGGCAGCCTGAATTCGCATATGCTACTGTAAAAAATTCTTTTTTGAATTAAAGACTGTTTCTAAATTGCCCGGTAGATAAAGTGTTAACGACGCAAGTGAACTTTTAACGTCGTATACACCACGTGTGAATCACGATTATTTAAAAAAACGCGAAACGAAGAAAGATGGGTTTAATACCACTTCCACGATAAACGGCTCGATTCCACGGAATTGCATTAGAAACGACACGATCGTTTCAGCAAGTTCGTAATCACGTCTGAAAATCTTCTCAAAGAGTATCGAAAGCAAGGTCAACGACCAGCCTGTTCCAGATCCGAGTAGGAGCTCCACGTAGCCTAAATTCTAACCGGACTTCTTGGAACCGCAAGCGAGCAGAATGGTTATTTCACGTTTGTTACGGTGGCGGGTACATGACTTTTACGAGTATGTCTAACGACCAAGGAGTCACTCAACCGTTTTCATTTTTTTTCCTCTCGTTTCGTTTCGAGATCGACTCGAGCCATCGACACTCGTTTCTTTTGAGCAAAACGTAGTGATATCGCTGTTTGCGTCGAAAGTAATGCTCCTTTTATACAACAGAGCTTTTTTTTCATTTACTAGAGACTCCTGAAAAGTAATAAGTAGTCCTACTCTTCTTTGAATCTATTTAGAGCCTGTTACTGTGCAAAGACTGCAAATTGGCTAGTGAGTTTCATTGATAATAATACAGACTCCTGAATTACACTACAGAATTATAAAGTATAATGCACATTAGAATATATAATTGTATACTTTAATCAAGGAGATTATACTGTTACCAATCAAACCCACTAGCCAACTTCTCGTTTCTACATAGTAGGAGGATTGCCGATGATTTCAATTAAGAATTTCAGGTTGAAATGCAACAATATTGCTGTTTGAGTCAAAACTACTAAACACGACTCTTTGTATAAGGCAGAGTTGTCTTCGGAGTCTTCTTTAAATTTACTTGCTACTGTGCAGGGACGATAAGTTGGCTAGTGGATCTGAGTGGTAACAATTTAATCCCTACATTAAACTACAAAATTCTAAAGTATAATATACATTAAAGTATATAATCGTATAGTGTAGTCAAAGAGATTATATTGTCACCAATCAGATTCATTA